TTCCTAAACACACATTTTGGGTCAGAAAAATTTCCTTTCCCCTAAATGAAGTATACTGATACATAAAATGATACCGGTGACATGAAAGGTAGTTAAATTTAAATGAGATTAAATGGTGCTGGATGCAAATGCGCGGTGAGCGCATTTGCATCAAGCAAATGAGCACACAGCCCTCCTCTGCCGAGGATTTCCGAAGACATGCGTTCTCCTTCCCTCAGTGCAAATGTGTCTCTTTTCGTTTTCTTGTCAGAATAATGCTCACACTTCTCTGGAAGATGACACGGAGAGAGGTTTGTGTGTGCTGGAGGAGACAGGAAGTCTTGGCCGCGGCACGACTGGATGCTGACAGTATGCACACAACTCACAATTAGCATTGTGAAGCCACCCGTGGCATGTAAGGAAAAGGCATCTAAAGTAAAATAGATGCCTGGGACTTTTTAAAAAATCATTCCCATTGCACTTAGGAAAGATTATATTTTCATGCATGGAAATGCATGCAGTTTTGCAATTTCATGCAGTCTTCTCCTCAACCTCAACACAGAAATGTACACTCACAAGTCATCTTGCATGTGTTTTTAGATAGACAGAAGGCCAGAGTCAATGTTAAGTGCAACAGTGTGGCACATTGTATTCCAAACCAATCGGTTTTAAAAAGCTCTTTCCACCCGGATGGGTTTTTGGGACCTGCAATATAAATATCAACCATCTGTGTGACCATCTGCATTCAGATGCTGCATCAAGTGCAAAGGCCAAACCACCCAAAACCCTCGCTCCTCCATTCGAGTCTTGCAGCATTTTTATTTTCTGTGTTGCTGCTTTTCCTTGAGGCAGGATAACCCAAGATGTATTGGTTTTGTAGGAGCCCTTGAGTTGTTCAAATGTGTGTTAGAGTTGTTTTGAATGCAGCTGAACTTTAGGGCTTCATTAATGGTGCTGTGCTCCATCTAGGAATCTAGTGATAATGCAATTGATTTGCTATCAATTTGCTCTGGGAAAAAAATAAGAAATAAAAAAAAATGAAAATAAAAAAATACAGTAATATGCACATTCTGAAAAATCTAAATAGATATTTGACAGTCACAGATTAAAGTCAGGAGCTGATTACATGCTAAAAATGGCAAGTATTCCAAGTTAAAAGTAATTGTTTTAGTGTTTATCTGGCACATCAACACTGAGATTCTCAATTAGGACAGAATATGACTAAATTGAAGAGGGGAAAAAAATAGAAAACAATCCTACATTTCTAAATCTGAAAGCTGAACACATGGTAAACAGAAGCATTTAACTAGGAGTTCATTGTATCATTTATTATTAATATTTTTTATTTTTTTCCCCCTTTACATGAACTAACTGATTTACTGAAATACATTGAACTTCCTAATGATAAACATAAGAGTGGAGAGTTTACGAGAATGTTAAAAAAATTTTTTGGCATATGAAGCTTGTAACTGTAAAAGCTATCAAATCTCAAAAGCTGATTTATTTTCACATCACATTGTTAAAAAATGTGTCTGTTTTTTTTTTTCTTTATATGGAAGCCTGTTTCCGCCACAAAATAATAATAAAAAAAAAAGAATAAGGTAATTGTGACTTTCTCACAGTGTGAGAAAGAGTTCTGAGCTCTGAGTCTGATTCTGAGTTTAAAATCTTACAGTTTGACTTGTGAGACAATTGACAAATAATTGAAATATAAACCTGCAATTCTGAGAGAAAAGGTCATAATTGTGAGCTCTAAACTCAGAATTCTGACCTTTTTCTCACAATCCTGATTTTACATATTGAAAAAAAAATTTCAATTGCAATTTTTTTTTTGCAATTGCAAAAATCGCTGTTAACTTTCTTTCTTTCTTTCTTTCTTTCTATGGTGGAAACTGGCCTCCATAGGTTTAAAATTACTAGACTAGAATGAGAGTGAGTAATGATTTTTGAATTTCCATTTTTGGTTGAATGACGCTCACAAAACCAAATGTAAAAAAAAAAAGTAAATTCAAGAATATGAAAGTGTGCTTTCCCCCACATAAAAACAGAAGTTGTGTTAAAAGTAAGTACCGAAAAAAAATGTTTGATTTGCTAAAGAGAATGTGCCCTTGTGTGTGTCTCGATATATATATATGTATGCTGTATATATGTAAGTAATCACAGAATGCATCACAGACCGGTTTCTTCCTAAGAAGTGATGTGATTAAGAGGATGGAAAACAATTTCCTATACAGACCACAATAAATTATTTTCAAAATAACGTCCCCTGAGACAAGATCTTAAAAATAGCCTCCAGTGTTCAGCTTATGTTAAATCAGGATGCAGATGTAGATGCAATAGATACTGATATGTGATGATACTTAGCAGTTATGCTGCTGATAATGGCCAGATGAAAGACAATCCTCAGCAGATCTGTGAGGAAAGGTCGAAAACAACCATGTGTGTGTTCATATGTGTATGTGGGTGCATATATATGACCGTGCTTTTCCGTGTAGGTCAGATGAGGAAGTTCAGGCCTCTTGCAGAGGTGGTAAGTTGTTTTGTGAGGCCAGCGTTTCTTTATGTGCCATGCACACCGCTGCCTCCTCCACACCCTGTTCTTCCTCAAACCCTCCATCTCAATCCTCATAGAAACAGAATAAATAAATCATCAGCCCAAACTGCCTTAAAGGGAACGTGGTAGTGTGGGAAGCTAGTTGAATACAGATCAAAGCTGGATTCTATTTAAAGTCAGTTTTCTAATCATGTGTTTCATGAACTGTAACTGATCATTACATCACATATTATTACAAAATAATATGAAATTATTACATATTATTACAAAAATACATCTGTGGAGAGATTTGCATCACACTTCTATGAATGCTTTTAATAAATGTTTTTGCTTTAATAGGTGTCGCACTAAAGATGAAATGTGTAACGTTTTTGTTCAAATACTTTCTATTGTAGCTTAAAATGCACAGATGAAAAGTAAGCCATTTGTAGGTTGATTTCCTTGAAAAGTGTTTGGTTGATCCCAGTCGTTGGTGTGAAAAAGTGAACTGTAAGTTGCTTTGCATAAACGCATGTGCTAAATGAGAACTTGATTACTTAATGACTTTTTTCTATCTTCAGCCTCCTCCTGATTGCGAAATGTAGGTGCTAACTGTGTTGATCATGGAGATTTTCTATATGATTATGTTACATATTTTAATGAGGACCATATAGAATCCACTGCATTCATTCTGTGTTTCAAATAATCATTAATAATTTGGTCATAATTAAGAACATTTGACCTTTTATAATAGCTAGTAGAAACAGTGTCATTTCAACAATGTTTGACCTGAAACCTAAAAACATGACAATGAAATATTTTGCCAAATTAAAACTGTAGTTTAAAACATGTATGTATGTGTATGTTGTGTATGTGTGTGTGTGTGTGTGTGTAATACAATATATTCACATTTTATATAATACGTTCTGCATAACCAATAAAAATATTACTTTACTGTTGTTTGTTTTGTAGACTTTCAGAACATATTGTTTACTTATTGTATTTAATGTTTTGATATAATATCTGATATAATTCGTAAAAAAAATGTACAATACTGTACAAGAATGTAAATAGTGATATAATTATACACAGCCATTTAACAGTAATTTTCATCATCATCATCATTATAATAATAGTTGTTATTTATTTATTTATCATCATAATTGTTATTAAGCACACTTATAACACAGGATATGTTACGCTAAATAAAATATCTCCATGCATTTTGCAAGATCCATTTCTAAATAACTGTATGATATCACTACTCTCATAAAGAAATGTGATGGGGAATATAAGCTTTATTCTAATTGTATTAAATATGCACAGCCTTTTAACAGTAACTTTTCTAACCCGATCTCATGAAAGTGCATATAAAACGAACTAAAAACGAAAACTCTTGGTATTGATACGAAAAATCATATGTAGGCCTACGCGAAGTATCGTCTGCACGCCAACAAATTTCGTATCATATGCACGCGAAGTAATTAACTGTAACTAAATTACTTTTGAAAAAGTAAAGTAAGGGATTACTCCTCATTTTTCAACCTGATCTCATGAAAGTGCGGATAAATAGTACGCCAAATAAAAACGAAAACTCGTGGTATTGATACGCAAAAATTGACTTTGGCGTGTATATGCTACGCGATGGGTAGGTTTAGGGTTGTGGGGTAGATGCATATCATATGTACGCGAAAACTGCGTATTATATGCACGCCAAACACGTGCGTAGCAGTACCACGAGTTTTCGTTTTTATTTGGCGTACTAGTTATACGCATTTTCATGAGACCGGGCTCACTTTTCCGTTAAGACGAAGTCGTCGTCTTCTCATTATTATTATTTGACGCTTTATAACAGGATCTTTTCTTCTAAATAAAACATTTCGCTAGATCAATTTCTACATAAGTGTACGATATGGCATAAAACAGCAAAAATACTCACACGTGACATATTGTAAAATAATAGACGTGACTTGTATGCAGTAACGCTATACTGTTCTTACACTGTGGCTTTTTGAATCCGCTTCCATCAGAACACGTGCTGTGCTCCTCTCCATCCAGACAGTGCGAGTGTGCTTCAGACTCTAGAGGTCTCCATCCTTCAGCATCCACACGCGCTGTGCATTCTTCTGCTTCGGCCAC